GGGGGGCTGCCGAGAGGGGCAGGGGTCGCGGGGCTTCTACCACCCGGGGATCGGGGGAGCAGGGGCAGGGGACGTGGCACTTCGACGAGGGGGGGTACCGGTAGGGGGGGAAGAGGGAGAGGGGGGCGCGGGCGTGGCAAGGATAGTGTTGAAGAGGAGGAGGGGGAGAACGGGTCTGGTAGCAATACTAGGGGGAGGGGGGGGAGAGGACGGGGAGGCGCGACACGAGGGCGCCGATCAAATTCGGGGGGGAGGGGCCGTGGCGCCGCACGGGCCGCTAGGGAGGGCTTTGCAGACTCAGGTAGCGATCCGTTTCAGCGTTGGCGTAATGAACTGGAAGCAAAACGCACTAAGGAGGAAGAGCATAGAATCGCAAAAGCAAGGGGGGATGGGTTTAAGATTGAAAGGAAAGGGGGGCCCAAGAGTAAGGAGGAGCTTATGCGGAAAAGGCTGAGTATGGTGGGAAAGTGAATGCAGAATGGGTTGAGTCAAACGCGTCTACTGGGGTCTGGTCGGCCCCAAAACATTCAGAGGATCCTTTGCGTTGGTACGAGGTGGGTTTGTCAGCAAACCCGTGATAGGCAGGCTGTCACCTCAGAAAAGCTGACTCAGTTTTTGCTCCTCCGTTGCAAGTATTGCTGCTTTGTTGCGCTCACTCTTAAGCTGGAAAGTAGAAAGCATACAAGCTAAGCAGGGAACACGGTGCTAATCGAAAGTTCCTCTCGTCCAATTTGCACAACACTGATCCACGAAAAGCCCGGCAAAGTAAGAAAGTCCACTCCAGTGAAAGCAACACAACGTACACAATAAGCCGGAAGGCTGCTTCACCTCAGACGATTGAAGCAAGCATAGTAATACTTGTAAAGCTCTTGAGTAAGTGCAACCTCTTTGCAAATAGTGGCGATTGGAGTCTGCTGAAACAAATATACTAACAATGTAGTGTTCTTTTCGGGGCGAATTGTAACGTATAGCCTGATAATTCTTCCCCTTCCACTCCCGCAGGCGGTGCGGGCCCGTCCGGCGCAGCAGACGACACCACACACTACACCAGGATTACAGAAGAGGCCAGTTGTCAGGACGAGGTGTCAAATCTGCAGGACTCGTGCAACCGAACTCCTCGCAAGGTCACTCTCCTCCGCAGAAACAACGCCGGTGTAGAGGTAAAAAGCTTGATTCTGTTCTGATTTACTTGTGACACTTTAACATCAGCATTTCATGTGGTTAGGAGCCTAACGGGCTTACGTGCTCCCGAATTGCGCTCGCGCTAAGCTCCCACATGACCCAGCTGTTTTCGTTCCAGTTTGTCATCTGAACGAACTTGAACGACACTGTATAGACCCCGGAACTCTAAGTTCGGAAGCTTTGAACTGCTCGTCGCTCCGGATTATTTGCGTAAGCCTGCGGCATTCGAAGACACTGCTTCCGGGATACCTATTAGGTCGCCGGTCGGCAGATGGCGACTGTAGCATGGCAGGTGGTGTTATGATTGCTTTGCTGTGCGGAAACTCCAGTGAACTGAGGTCTTCCTGCGCACGGTAGCGTGCTCATCTGCCAGCAGCTTTCATTTCTGCCAGTACCCCTTACTTGCTAAGTCCAAGTTTGATAGGAGGACCTTTCTAGAATAGACGCTATTGAGCGGCCAGTTACTATGCTGAATGAAAATAACTGTGTCTCTATTGATGCGCTGCCAGTCTGGGCCTTCTGTCTGCGGCTTCTTTGTCCGATGTCAGACCAAGAGTTAGCGTTAACGAGCAATCCGCAGTGACAATTGCGTGCATGAATGAGAGAGCACTAGAGACTGAGTGCAAATGCCTTCAAAGTGCGTTCCACTTCGCCCTTATCATCACGGACCACCGAGCGACCGTACAGAATTTGAAAGCTTACGATTTTGAAGATTCTGGCCGTTGACAGTTGCAAAAACTCTTCTCCTCTTATGGCAGGTCAAAATGGGCACGTTTAAGTCCTTTACGCTAGCGTCGAGAGCAGCACGAGATGGTGACATCATCGAAATGACGGGCGAGGTGGACCAAGCGTGGTTTAGCATAACCAAGGTAAGTTTAGCACAATCAGATGTCCAAATCAAGTCGCTCGGTTGCTTGGTCTTCTGCTTCTGTCAAGGTTCTCATGTTCGTACTCGGCATACTTTGGAAGGGTTTGGCGAAGGCTTCCAGATTCCTTTATATTGGGCCAGGACAAAGGTGTCCAAAGGGGCAGGTTGGTACTGCTACGTGAGCACATCATTTGTTGTTCCGTTCGTTGTGGCTTTCTGAGCTTGCTTTGAAATACCCAGAATCCTGAAAGGACTTATCTGGTGTGTCAGTCTTCTCTGCTGTGCTCTTAAACCATCCAAGCCCTATCGTGAGTTCATGCAT